TACATATATCTTGGACACGAAATAAAGATCACAAGAGACAACCAAACATGCGAACTACGAAGAAGAATAAACCTACCATGGGCAGCCTATGGAAAACTCAAAAACATGTTTAAAAGCGATATACCAATTTCTTTAAAACGTAAAACATTTGACCAATGTGTGTTGCCTGTGATAACCTATGGTGCCGAAACTTTAACATTGACAGCTATAAGTTCTAAAACTTTGTAAATAGCTCAGAGGAAAATGGAAAGATCAATGTTGAGTATATCGCTTCGTGACCGAGTTAGAAATGAATACTTAAGACGAAGAACAGGAGTTACCGATGTAATTTCCCGAATTGTCACACTGAAATGGAACTGGGCCGGACACGTCGTCCGAAGCAGTGATGAAAACTGGACGAAGAGATTGCTTGACTGGTGGCCGAGATTAAACAAAAGAAATAGAGAAAGACCCCCTACACGATGGACTGACGATCTCAAGAACATGTCAACAAATTGGATGAAAAGTGCTCAATACAGAGCACAATGGACAAAAATGAGGGAGGCCTATGTCCAGCAGTGGACGCAAAGGACTGGGTGATGATGATGATGGTTCTTCTAAAATAATTTTCATGTACTTCTTGTATTTTGTTCTTCTTTTTATTATGCTACCTATCTGTTCCGAATGTTGGCGATCATCATGGCTCATTAATGGCGATCAACATGAATCATTAGTTTGCTGGAAGCTATTCGAAATAGGTGTATACATGTTGAACCAAATGATCTGAGGATCATTAAATTCTCCGCCTCCTTTGTCATCTTTTACCATAAACCTTTCCCTAAAGAACGAGTTGCAGTAAGCCAGATCTTTGCTCATTTCACGTATTATGGCCTAGATATTCTAATTTATGCTCTCTGTGCTCATATTTCTAAGGCTTTGAGTTTTTTAAAAAAACTTTAAAAAGCGTTTAAGGGTCTAGTCTGCCTAATCATAACCTCAAGATATATTTCGTCGTTAAGAATGCTAATCTTGGACTCATTATGTGTTGTTTAATTTCGATGGAGTGGAATCATCGGCTATTTACGTTGGCACTAACGTATATCGATCGACCATGTCAATTGGCCGTCAAAAACTACGCCTTTAGTGGTATGCGCATACTGACCACCATTTATTATTTTTTATTATTATCCAGTCTATACTTATTATTGATATCTAATATCAGAAACAATATTAGTTGTAAATTCTCTAAACTAATAATGTACTCAAATAACCCTTTTTTTATCTTCTTACAATATAGTGTAATAAAGTATAAGTGGATATTGAGGTGTTTAAAACACGCTCAATTTTAGAGCACGACAGCGCAGCCGGATACTTTCGACTTGGAGCTTTCGACTTGGGAGTTAAAGCTTGGAGCTAAATACTTTCGCTCAGCTCTAGGTTTTTCCTTTTTGTTTTTGTTTACCGGCCTAGGTCTATGTCTTTTGATTTGTGTTGTATGAATTAGACTGGCAATTATATTGATTTGTCCTTTCTTGTCTGGAACTTTATAAAATTCTTCTCTAAAAGCTTTGATGTAATTAGGCCTTAATTTTACGCACGCGAAACGTTTATTGTTTACACGGTTCAAAACTCGAGCTCTTTTAGGAGCGGCATACCTGGAAATTTGTTCACTTTTCTTTTTCCTCTTCTCTTTCTAGTTTCTTCATTTCCTTCACCAACACTTCCATCTGCATTACCCATTCTCCTTTAAATAATAACGTAATTACTATTTTTTTCTTATTACGTTGACAATCTAAATAGTAGTCACAAAAACTATAGAAAACCCTTACATAACCTCAAATTTGCAATGCTCACTGGGTCAGAGTGGCAGTTGCAGCGTGTCTATTGGTTGGTTGGAAATAAACTGGACTACATGGACCAGTACAGTCAAAAAAGGATGTTTTGCATGTAAATGTGTTTTTTACATGCTGTTACCATTGAAAATAACTTTTTTTTTTGTATCAATCAGGTAGAATAAACCACTTTGTCTACAACAGAACAATGCATTGGCACATCTCACTCAAGTTCGATTTTTGTGTGACTGAAATCTGTTTGCATGTTACCTTCTCAAATATTTTAAACTATTGATGTTACCATCGTAACTTTAAAATAAATTTTTAACTTTTAAAAACAAAACTGCGCGTTTTTGAAAGTTGAATTTAAACAATCTACGGCGTACTTTAAATAAGCAAAATGGGGTACCAAAAAATCTTTATTATTACCAGTGCTTCAGTTTTATTTATAATAAAAAAAGAAAACTATTACACTTAATAAAACTTGAAAGGCATCCTACTGTGAGAGAAACTCTCACACGCGAGTGCTCGTATAACTGTTAAGATAACGAGTAATCCAGGGTTAAAAGATTATCCTAGCAAAATCTATTAATCCGATAATTATATTAATTAAAATTAATATTAATTAATTAAAAAATTAAATTAAATGCAGTTACAGGAGCGGTAGACTTAAAAATGATCTACAGCAAAACAAAAATACTGAGCCGAGACCAGACAAATATAACAATACAAAATCATACCATAGAAAATGTGGAACAATATGTATATCTAGGTCATGTTATCAAACTAGGAAAACCAAATCAAGATGCTGAAATTAAAATAAGAACACAACTGGTTTGGGGCGCTTTCGGCAAACTAGCACATATCTTGAAAAACACCTCCATTCCTATAAACTTAAAGAAAAAGGTGTATACCATATGCATACTACCAGTTTGTACCTACGGCTTGGAGACAGTAGCACTTACAAAAAAATCTGCCAAAAAATTAGAAACAACGCAAAGAGCAATGGAACGAATCATGCTTGGAATATCACTAAGAAACAAGATTAGAAAAACCGAGATAAGACGTAGAACCAACATTGGGGATATTGTGGAAGAAATTACAAAAATGAAATGGCGCTGGGCAGGTCACGTAGCCCGATATAATGACAACAGGTGAACACGGAGAATTCTAGAATGGAGACCAAGGACGACAACAAGAAGCATGGGAAGATCTCAAACAAGATGGGTAGATGACATAAGAACAGTGGCAGGCAAACAGTGGATTAGATTGGCGCAAGATAGAGAAAGATGGAAGCAATTGGGAGAGACCTACATTCAGGAGTGGATGGAAAATGGTTGCCAAAGAAGAAGAGAATTATATTTGTTTTAGCATTAATTATCTATTTAATAATATATCACCACATATCACTGAGGAATATTAGGCAAATTCTCTCGATTTATTTTAAATCCTAACTATCTCAAATAAAACATCGTCAGATCCCAAACACATGTTGTGTTAATTAATTTAGCCAAGCGAATGTTAAACATATTAATACTCATTAGATCATAAATTGTAGTGTCAACATCGCTATAGTTAGCAGCTACTTCTTAATTATGGTCTAACGACAGCGACTAATAGTTAAAAAATGTAACACAGTTTTATTAAAACACAGATAAAATAGAATTCCCACGATTGTAAATTGATTTATGGCTCGACCGCCATATTCAATCGAGATGGAAATATTTTAGTTGAATGGAAAATGCAGTCGACATCTGTTCCGAGCACAATTGGCTTTTATTGAATAAAACACGTTTAATCTCAGATAAGTAGAAATAATTTACGGGAGAGTAAGGAAGAAAAAGCTTTTTTTTACTATTGATTTAAAACATATACTGTGTTAAAAAAATATTTATTTTGAATTTGATATAAACATTAAATTAACTAAAACCTTCCAAGGAATGGAATCGCTAGTAACAAATACTTCTTCTTCTACTTCTTTTTCTTCATTTTATATACACATGACTATGTCAGTTTTTCAATGTACCTCCAGTAAGTTATCGTTCCATCGTTGTTGTGGTCTTCCTATTGGGAAACTGTCTCTTGCCGTCTTTACTTCTCTATTTGTTATCAATCGGCTTATATAATCGTTCTATTCTATTCTTCTCTTTCTTCTACAGTTCTTAATGTTCACCACCTTACATCTACGTCGTATATCTGTACTTCTAGCTCTGTCTTATAGTATCTTACCATCAATTTTTCTAAGTGTGTATGTTAAAACACCGAAAAAGTATTTTCAATCCTTTTTGCGTCAACGAGTTGATAATAAATACATTTTAAAGTTTGTTTATATATCAGACATGCGTATTTCCGCTGAGACGGTTTTGCGGGGAAGAGAATTACATCAATCTCGCTGAAGCCCGTATCGGGGCCACTTGGTTTCGGGTTTAGTCCAAATTTTTCGTCAAATTTGTAATGTTTCTTTTTGTTTTCGTATGTTATGGAAATAGTGAAGTTTGGTGTGTTGGAGTAGTTAAATGTGAAATTCAGGTTGAGGTTTGAAAGAGAAGTCATTTAGAAGAGGCGCAGTTTAGTTTAGTGTTTAGTATATTTTAATTTAAAGTAAAAACTGAATTTAAATATTTGCCTGTCAAATTCTTGCATAACGTTTATTTATGTCTCTTCTACAAATTATGTAAACTGTTAAGTCTTTAAAACTACAAGCCTAAAATTGTGTTATCTACTTGGCCAGTCTATCCTAATCTATCTAGTCATATACCAAGACCTACCCATGTATTAAAAAAATTATTTCACATATGTAAAATCATTAACTCAATATTACTAAAACTATGTAGGTCCATGTTTATAATTAATTCAAAATTATAATCTAATCATTATAATAATACACAATTATTACATTATAATATAATTAAATCTCTAATTATAGTTAAATTTACAATTTATTTTCTTTTAACCAGAGAGGATAAAAGCTTCATACTTCATTAAAGTTTAAAAAAACTGTGACGGCATAAAGAAAGCTTAAATAAAAAAAGCTAAAAACTTCTTTTTTTATATAAACCCAACTGCCTCTATATATTATCTTCTCCTTCGACCTCTTGAAACAACGTGATAACTGAAACTTTAGTTCTTTTCGTCGTCACCAAAGAAATATGAGATTTTTTATATTCCTGTTTAACATAAACCTCTTACCTTTCGATCCCTATTTCAATTTTATAGTCTGCGTTGAGTTCGAAGAATCCCTGGCAAAGTATAGCCCACTGAATTATGAAAGAGCCCAATAATAATGTAAATCCAACGCTGCTGTACCCATAACGCTTCAGAAACGTCATTAAAAAACCAAAACCGATGAATATCATGACGTGGACATCCTGAAACACTGAAAAATAAATTGACATAAAATTGATGCCTATAAAATATTGAGGACGATTTTTGAATTGCGCTGATAAAATTTCAAATTGGCGGATCTGAAATATTTATACAGTCATTTTTGGTAGGTGCAATAAATAACCTTTGGAGTAACATTTGAATATAAATACAAAATTTATAACGGTAAAGAGTGCGAACGCATACAGGATATTAAAAAAATCATATTTTTGGTTAATGTAAATACCATTTCTACCTTTATTAAATATTAAAGTATGTTATTTATACACAAATGTTGGTATTCATTTATTCATTATCTCTACTCTGTTCATGTGTTTCTTTTAAGGGCGTGACATTATGAGAAAATCAGCAAATATTTTTCAACAAGTTTTAAACATGTTTTGTTTACTCTCTACAATTCTAGCGATAGAATACGTAAATCATATATAGAATGATAGAACACGAGAATAGATACATGAATCGATTATTTATAAAAGATTATGTCATAAAAAGTAGAACCCATGACAACAGAGGAACTAGGAAAGGCAATTGAAAGAGTTAAATTAGTCAAAGCACCAGGCAAGGATCACTCCGGAAATGATAAAATTCATGGGAATACAGGGAGTGGACAGCATAAAATAACTAACGAATGATATCATAAAGAGTGTAGAAATACCACAGGACTGGAAGAAAGACATTATACTACCAATACACAAAAATGACGACAAGAGGAACTGTAACAATTACCGATGTATTACTATATCAAGTATTCCTGGGAAGGTATTCGCAAGAATAATAGAAACAAGAATAAAAACCCAAATAGAACCAACTATGGAAGATACACAATGTGGATTCAGGAAAGACAGAAGCACGCAAGAAAACATATTCACAATAAGACAAGTAAGTAAGAAAGTAATCAATAAATATAGAGAAATACATATATGCTTGATTGATCTGGCAAATGCATTTGACAGAATCCAAAGAAAGGACATATGGAGGATAGTATGAAGGAAAGAGTAGTTAACAGGATAACAATTGATATAATAAAGGATGTGTACAATAATAATACATATGCGGTGAAAATCAATAACGAGGAATCCGAAGAATTTACTACAAGTCAAGGAGTCAAACGGGGAAGCTTGTTGAGCCTACTGCTGTTCTTGGTGGAAATGGATGAAGCAATAAAGAAAGACAAGAGAAAATTGAGAAAGACGACATGGTTTTGATAGCAGAAAACAGAGAAGACCTACAGAACAACCTTGAAGTCCTAGAAGAAGAAATGCCAAACATAAATATGAAGATAAATACAGAGAAAACAAAAACAATGATAATTTAAAATAAGAGAACGACACACGCAATACAATTAAAAGGAAAAAAACTAGAACAAGTGGAACATTTTAAACAACTAGAAGTAATAATTGAATAAAACGGTAAACAAGACATGGAAATAAATAAGAGAATGGACGAACATGAAGCTTATTTAACACTATGGAAACAACATTTTTGGGAAAAAAAAATATCAGAGAAGGTAAAAACAGCAGTCGTTAAATCAGTAGTTAGACCTACAATCATGTATAATACCGAGTCATGGACATTGACTGGGAGACAAAAATCTTGAGTCAATGCTATGGAAATGAGGTTTCTGAGGAAAATAGCAAACAGAAAGAAAACAGATAAGATAAGAAACCAAACAATCAGACAAAACCTAAAAATAGAACCAATAAACGAATAATAGTAGAGAGGCAACTAAGATGGTTCGGGCACGTGTGTAGAATGTCGAATAAAAGATTAACAAAACGAGAGTTTGAAACGAGAGTGCAAGGGAAAAACAAACGAGGAAGACCAAGAGTTAGGTGGGTAGACGAAATCAGAAAAGAAGTTGAGAAGAAAGGATTGACATGGGAAAGTGCACGAAATCTAACACAAGACCGAAAATCATAGAGACAACAGTACAAAATATAACCCCACCAGCTTTACACCTAACGGTAGAAAGACTTAGGACTAAGTAAGCAAGTAAGTATGTCACTACTTTATGTAAATTGGGATTATGACGAAAATTTGTTTTAAATACTTATATCTAACGTTTAGTTATAAAAGAATATAAGTCTTCAGTACTGTTGATAGGTAGGCAGACAGCAGAATATGGTTTCATACATTTGCCGCTAATCTTTGACTGGCATGTAGTAGTGCTTGGTGATAAATGACAAACAGGTTGTTTTGTTGTGTAAAATACTACATATTTGATTTAATATAATTGATACTGAGATTACAAAAAGAAAAAAGAAGGCAGTTAAAAACCCAGATTGGTATAAAACTTTTAATATTAAGAGAAATCGGTTGTTGGGAAAATCATATACAAATTACCAAGGATATATCATTCCAGGAAAGGTCATTGGAAAACCTTGCACGTAAGTTTCAAATGTTTTTATTAATTTTATAGTTTATTGAATTTTGAACAAAAAAAATTGAGATAATGAAAAAATTATATTCTTTTTCAACAAAAAATGAACAAGATATTTCTCTGCAAGCTTTAATAGAGTCGAATGTTACTAAGAAGAGACGACCTAAAGCAGTACAACGTTTACAAGCTCTTTTGCATTTTGGAAAATCTCCTAAAGATTTGAGGGGTCTACAGAAGAATAGAAAAACTGTTTGTGGTAATATAATGCAAATTGTACGTGAGCACATTTCTTAATTTTCTGTTAACCAAAGTCATTAATTATCCAAAGAATATCAATACCTAGAGGCAAAGCTTAATGTAAAAATTATGCATTCCTTATTTAAAGAGAAACACGCTAAAGATAATGTGAAATATTCTGCATAATATACTGTTTTTAAAGAGCATTTTGACTATACATTTGGGCCACTGCAAGTCGATTGATGTAGCCAATGTAAAAAACTTCATATTAAATGCACAAGTCCTTCTTTAAATGAAACAGCTAAAACAGCTGCTTCAGCCGAACTTACGGTGGATAAAAGATCCTTTAAAAAATTTTATCATAGATTTTAAAATACGGATAAAATGTACAAAAAAAATGACAACGTTATTGAACTTTGTTTGGATTATATGAAAACATTTCATTACCGTCGATTTCAGTTCAAGATATTGTTTATTTACGTCAGCTATCAGTATTTCCATTCAGTATTCATAACTTAAAAGACAACAGTGCCCAGTTTTTTCTTTACCATAAGACGTGGCTTAAAAATGCCCAAATGATCTTTTATTTTTAACTATTTGAAGCAAAAATACCTACCACAGTAAAAGAACTTCACCTCTACAGGGACGAATGTGGTGGCCAAAATAAAAACAATGTTATGATTCTATTTTGCCTTGCGCTTACTGACAGGATTGTTTAAAACAACTTTCCACAAATTTCCAATTCGTGGCCACTCATTCTTGCCATGCGATCGGGACTTAGGCTTGGTAAAACGCAAACTCAATCGCATGGATAGTCTATACACCAATGGAAGTTTGTAAAGCAATCTGTAATTCTACAAAGAAGCAGAAATTGACTGTACAAATGGTCCTAATGACGTTTTGGATTTTAAAAATAGGTGGTCCAAATATTACGAAAAGACGTGCCTTTCTGTTGAAACTTTCGCTAAATCGATTCAACGTTCACCAAAGAAGTCATTTGCAGTTTACAGTTTTATGAAGTTCCGCTACAATCATACAAAAAAAGTGCTTGTTGAAGCATTAAAGTTTATCGATGGTGCACTAACTAGTTCCTTTGTTTTAAAAAGTCAGAACACCAAAAATGTTCAACTTCCCAAGAACAGAAATTACAATGGAATGGAAACAATTAAAATTATCAAAAAAAATCAATGATATTAAAAAGACAACTAGGTATCTTCCTGAAAATTATCAAGAAATTTAGGAGGGAATAATTAGTTGGCCAACAACTGAAGGGGAAAGTACTGACGTATGAGTATGTTGTAAAAAACTGCTTAATGTTTGTTTTTTTAGGTTAAAATATTTCAATTGTTAATGACTGGTAATAAATTTTGTCAATAAACGTATCTCTTCTGTTAATTTAAACAAATACGGCAAAAAATAATTGTTAAGACATTGTTTTTGTTAATTAATTCGAGAAGAGATATGTCAGACGAATAGAATAAAAATCTAATTTTTCATACCCGCTTTATGAAACTCAATTCGTACAAAAATAAAAATCAAAATTTTTTGTTGTGTTATGTTTAATTGCTTATATCATAAATTTTATTTTTTAACACCAACCTCTGACAGCTCTTAGGTATGGATTTCATGATATTTTAGATTTCATTAAAAAATATGTAGATGACCTAATACTAGCCATCCCTAGTTATTTCTTCTTAGGGTGCCTGTCCGTTCCGCACGTTGGCGATCATTCTGGCTATGATGACTTTGTTGGTTGCTATACGAAATAGCTGTGTTGAGGTCTTTCTATACCATGCTCTCAGGTTAGCATTCCAGGATATTCGGCTTCGTCCTGGGACCGTGTTTCTCTAAATTTTACGTTGTAAAATGCATTGAAGTAGCTTGTATTTGCCTTGATTTCTCATTGTATGTCTTAAGTACTGCAGCTTACGGCCCTTCACGATGTTGACCAAATCCCCGGTTGTGTTCATCCGCAGTACTTCTTCATTGATAACTTTGTTTGTCCATGGTATCTTCAGGATCCTAATGTATAAACATAGCTCAAAAGCCTAAAGTTTTGATAGAGTCTCCGCCTTCAATGTCCACGTTTCTACTCCGTGCAGAAGCACTAAGTACACATAACATTTAAAGAGCCCTATTTTTGTTTCTAGGGTGAGGTCATGGCTCTTGAACACAGAGCTCATAGTCAAAAATGCACTTTTTGTCTTTTCGATGCGATATTTAATCTTTTGGGTATTGTCCCACGGCCCATTGATTACAGTTCCCAAGTAGTTGTATTGTGATAAAACAGAGGAACTATTGTTCATTTTTAACACTTATGACCCATATATCCAGTATACAATTAAGGTTGAAGGCGAATCATAATCTGTTTTCTT